ATCTCTCTCTTCTACACTAAGCTGCCTCTCTGTGTGAATAAAGGACTTATATAAAAGCAGAGAGGGTCAACAAAATCCCCATGTATTTTTCAAAATCATACATGATCCCTTGAAAGATTTAAGAGCAGAGGTAATTTAAAGACTGCTGTTGTTCAGCTGTGTCTGACTCTTCATGACCCCATTTGGGATTTTCTTGGCAAAGACACTGGAGTGGTTTGCCATTTCCTTCTCCAACTCATTTTACAGATGAGGAAACTGAGGAAAACAGGGTTAAGTGACTTGCTCAGGGTTGCACAGCTAGTAAGCATCTAAGGACAGATTTGAACTCAAGAAGATGAATATTCTTGACTTTGGGCCTAGTGTTCTACACCCGAGCTGCCCTAACTTGAGATACCAACTCTCCTATTTCATATTTAAGTCCTTTCACGTTATGGCTTCAACCTATCTTTTTAGACAAATTTTATATTGCTCCCCCTACACACTCAGTTTTTTTCCAACTGTCCTATTTGCTATCCCTTATATGTAACATTCCATCTCCTGCCTCACACATCTGCCTTCTAGATAGCCACCAAGCTGCCCTAACTTAAAAACTATCTGATTATAAATATCAATAGAGATGTGAAATAGGAAGACTAATGTTCCCCAAAAGTTTTTTTTTGCCTTCATCATTGAAGATGTCTCATATAGATTCCAAGAGAAGAATAATTCCCTGTTGTTGATGAATTCCTCCAATTGCTCTATTTTGCAAATGATTTTCTAAGGATCTCTTTAATCCCCAGAACATCATAGAACATTCTAGGTGAGATACATGATCACTTTAAAAAGTTCTATCTCACTATCCATATAGGGGGAAAGGGGGTGTGGGATGAAGAATGTCTATTGTTAAGACTGTCATACTATTTTACGGAGAGCTTAGGGAAATGATCCATCAGTACAAGCATCATGGATAGATGCTGCAGATAAACCCTGAGCTGACTCCAAAACTGAAGGGGAAAATGAGAGCATGCTCTAGTTAAATTGTGCAGGGCTTTAATTCAATTTGATTTGATTTAACATGCAGTTTTAAAGTGCCTATAATTTCTAAGTATTTGAATTCAGAGATAAACCTGAAAAATAGCCTCTCCTTAGGGAGCTTACATTCTACTGTTGGAAATAAGCTATATATGTACACATATCTATAAGTGTATACATAGGGACAGGAAGGAGTAGCCCGACTGACTTGATGGGACCAGAAAGGCCTTGGGCAAGTGATGGTGTTTGACATGGCCCTTGAAAATAGCTAGAAATTCAAAGAGGTCAAAGTGAAGTAGGGGAATATTCCAGGCATGGTAGATAGCCTAAGATTGGGAAGCCATAGAAGGGAATAATGGGAAGGGAATAAGCACTTATGGAATACCTTCTATGTGCCAGGCATTGTGCTAAGCACTTCACAAATTTATCTCATTTCACCCTCACTACAATCCAACTGTGAGGTAGGGGCTGCTATTATCTCCATTTTACAATTGAGAAAACTGAGGCAAACAGAGTTTAAATGATTTACCCACGTCTATGTAGTTCATAAGTGAAGCTGGATTTGAACTCAGGTCTTCAGGACTTCAAGAGTTGTACCTAGTGGGTCACCTAGCTGTCTAGAAGGCAGATGTGTGGAGGCAGAAGATGGAATGTTACATATAGGGGATAGCAAATAAGGTACTTTGGCTAGAAAACTAAATGTGTATGGGGAGTATTATACAATTTGTCTAAAAACATAGGTCGTGAAGGGACTTAAATACAAAATAGGAGAGTAGGTATTTCATCCTAGGGGCAATAAAGAGCCACTGAAGCATTTTTTTTGGGGGGAGGGGAAGGGAGAAAGAGAAATGTTAACATCAAACATATGCTATTAAGAGTATAAATTTGATAATGGTATGGAGGATTTCTCCCTATAAACTAGTTTGAATCCTACTGTCTTTAAAAATGTCCCAGTCTTATTTTTAAAAAAAAAAACTTCACTGAAACCTACCATCACCTCAAGTTATCATTGTATATTTTGCTTTCCTTTCTCAGCCCAACTCAGTGAAAAAACAAACAACTGCTAATACTTACTTCTCAGCCCTTTGCAATCTAGAATCCCACCACATTACTCAACTGAAAATACTATCTACAAAGTTACCAATCACCTCTTAATTGACAAATATGGTTGTCTTCTATTGGTCTGAATACTTCTCAATAGATCTACTGAATTTGAATCCATTAATCACCCCTATAGTCTCCTTAGCTGGCTTACCACCCATATCCCATCTCCTAAGTGTGGGTGTTCATTCCTCAAGGTTTTGCCCTAGACTTTGCACCTATTTTTCTTCAGGCCTAGAATGCTCTTTCTCCTTATCTTCTCCTCCTAGAGTCCTGGCCTTCCTTCAAGACTCATTTTAAATGTCACTTTCTTCAGGAAGCCTTTCTTTGTTTCCACATCTGCTAGCCCAGGAGAGGGGAACCTGCAGCCCTCTAGGTCCTCAAGTGCAGCCCTTTGCCTGAATCCACACTTCACACAATCACCACCTCTTGCGGCTAGGGCCTTCCCTTGTATTTTTCATGTTGGTTGTTGTCCTTCCTTATTGAAAAGGACCAAAACGACATCACTGTGTGAAAGTCAAGGTACAGTGTGTCTGACCATGGCTGATCAGGCCAATGTGAGCTTGGAATGCTCTACCACAGGTTGGGCACAAATAGTGCATGTGAACATTTGGGGCACATGCTCTAAATTTGTGCAGCTCATGTTTCTTTTGAGCTACTTCAATTCTGCTTTGCTTATACAGCACAGAGCCTTCTCTGATGAGAGCACACCATGATGGCTGGTCCTGTGCCAGTGTCTCCCATGATACATAATCAATTCCAAAGTTCTTAAGAGAGACCTTGAGAGTGTTCTTGTATCACTCTTTCTGACCACCATGTGAGTGCTTGCCCTGTGTGAGTTCTCCACAAAATAATCTTTTATGCAAGTGTACATTTGGCATTCAAATAACACGGTCATCTCATTGGAGTTATGCTCTCTGCAGTAGAGTTTGAATGCTTGGCAGTTTAGTTCCAGAAGGGACCTCGCTATCTGGTATCTCATCCTGCCATGTGATCTTCAGAATCTTCCTAAGACAATTCAAATGGAAGCGATTTAGTTTCCTGGCATGGCACTGGTATACTGAGCCTTCCTCTGTATCTTCCATGTACCCATTTGTTTACATACCAACATACCTATTATAATGTAAACTCTTCGAGAACAGGAATGGATTTTTCAATTTTATTTAAAAAATATCAAGTGCTTATATAGTGCTTAATGAATGATTGATTGAAATTATCAATAAATGAGAGAGGAAAGAGACTGGATGACCTATGCAAGCTGCTGTATAAGTAAGGGAAGCAGCATAAATCATACTATTAAGAAAGTATGATTGGAAAAAGCAAACTAGTCTCATGTACTCCATTGATAACCATCTGATATAAAGAACGGGTGGATTTCCACAAAGAATTTATAGGAGTAAACAGACAATAGATGCATGAAATGAGATAGGTTGCAAAGATTATCATTAAAGGGAACATCACAGATGAGATGGATGAGGTCACAGTTTCATTTATCCCTCGAATGAAATTGATAATCAGTTGGCCATCAAACACAATTTAATCTGGTATTAATTCTTTCATTTTCCGTTTTAATCGGAGGTAGTGTTCACCAAAACCTTAGGAAAGATCCTCCAACTTTAAGCTTTTTTTTCATATGGAACAATGTACATAGATAAAACAGTGAGGGCTATTGAGGAGGAGATTGTGAAGTCTGGAGAGTGAGGAGAGAATCACAGCCAGGAAGCCCTGTGAAATGGTGGTCCAAGGCGTTCACCAATCGAAAAAGAGGGCCAATGGGTTTTGGCATTTTTGGCAGCCTGGGGGAAAGATGGCAGACTTAAAACTCTTTCTGAGCCAATATTGGCTGCCTATTTTTCTGAAGCTTATTTTGAAGTTCCCCCTTTCTTCAAGCCTTATTAATCCAAAATTGGGTGCCATTGTACCCATCACAGCTGGTAACATGTTCTTCTCCTAACCAGAGAAAAATACATTCACTTGAGTAGACAGTATAGGAAACTTCCCTATGGAATTAAAATACAAAATTGTCTGGTGGAACGACAGTGGGTTGTGTAGAGAACTCTGCCTCGGTGTACACTTACTGGAATTTCATTTGGTCAAAACATGGAGAATAAGGAGCTTTGGTAATTTGGTGTCTTGTCTGATGGTTAGCTTTTGAAAGATGAGGTGAGTGTAAAATACAGATGTCTTGGCCAGATGTGTTGGGAAAGAGTTTAAGAGGAAGACTGTCTAGTGGGGTGGTAAACCAAGCCTCTGACAGGAGTAAAGGGGACTTGAGGTTTTATTCCAAAAAAAAAAAACCCAAACCCCCCACCCCAGGCTTAGCCTAGATACTAGTTTTCAAAGACAGCGAGGTTGCAGAGGGGGATAATGGCTTCTGGGGCTTAGGTTGATCGGCTTGTTTCTGGGTTATTCTCCTGGTCAGGCAGCTAGGAGTTCTTCTAATTGTAAAATGGAAGAATCTGTTTTATCTTTCTCCTGCTTCTTAAGTCTAATCCCTCGCTAGACTGTATTGTTTCCCTGTGTCTTTTGTCTTGGGGAGAAAGGAGACAATCTCGGGCTCATGAACATCTTGTTAAGGTCTGTTGAGGCTTAGGGGGGTGTGACATAATTTTCTTGCTGAGTCTTTTTATTGAGGATTTTTTTTTTCAGCTGGCTTGTTTTGGAGGTCTTTGAAATGTCTCCTAGTAAGCAATGATTTTCATTTCCCTTTGTTCCCTTCCAGATCTGGGCTGGGTTTCGCTCCATGCTCTTTGGGGGTCTATTTCAGGCATCGTGGGAGCCTCACTTTCAGAGTAGTTGGAGAGGAGGGGGAAGAGCCCATGGGGAGCTGTCTGTCCCAGGGCTGAGTGCCTTAACTTGCATTTCCCATCCCCCAACCACCTCCTGACGTCCTTCCCCCTCCTTCCCCCTACTCTGTTGCTTGAAGTGGGCCTACTTTGGGGCTTGCAGTTTGCAGGATTTTGCAGGCAGCCATCTAAGGAGAGGTTGAAAGGCATGTCTGGGATGTTGCAGAAGCATTTCCATAAAAAGCCCTGAACTTCAGCAACAGAATGACAACACTGAAAACCTTAGCGCTTTCCTGGAGAAAGAAGGGGAGAAATGAGATCTCTCACCTCTGGAGAAAATGCCTTCTCATGGTCTCTAGTCCTTTATTCTGGGTTCAAGAGCAGGTGAGGGTCACCTGCTAATGGCTTTTGCTCTCAATCTGCTAATTGGTTCATCCCCCAACCCAGTCTCCTTTTTAATCTCCCCCTCAAGTAATTTGACTCCCTGAAGGATTCTAATTCCCCTCCCCAGACTTTCCATACTCAACCAACAGATATTTATTAAGCACCTACTATGTGCCAGTCACTGGGCTAGGCTCTGGGGATGCAAGAAAAAAAGATGTAACAGTCTCTGCAGTCAAGGAGTTTAAACTCTAATGGGAAAGATAGAATGTACGCATAATAATAATTATTGTTATAATAGCTAGCATTTGCACAGTGTCGACTATGTGCCATGCTCTGTGCTCAGTGCTTTAATAGTACTATCTCATTTGATCCTCAAAACAACTCTAGAAGTAGGAGCAATTGTTAACTCTGATTTATAGAAGAGGAAACTGAGGCAAATGGGGATTAACTGATTTTCCCAGGGTCACACAGCCAATAAGGATCTGAGGCTGGTTTTGTACTCAAGTCTTCCGGACTCCAAGACTAGCTCTATCCTCTCCATCCACTCCATCCTGCCATCTTGTTCTTGTTTTTCTGTCCTTTCAGTTGTGTCCAACTCTTCATGACCCCATTTGGATTTCCTTGACAAAGATATTTAAGTGGTTTGCCTTTTCTTCCTCTAGCTCATTTTATAGATAAGGAAACTGAGGCAAACAGGGGGAAGTGACTTGCCAGGGTCACACAGTCAGTAAATGTCTGAGGACGGATTTGAACTTGAGAAAATGAGTCTTCCTGACTCTAGGCTGGGTGCTCTATCCACTGTGCAACCTACCTGTCCAATAAACATGCACAGGTAAGTATATATATAAAAAATAAATCCAATGTCATGGAGGGGATGGGCATAACTAGCAGCAGGAAAGGAACAGATCATAAAATCATAGATTTGCAGCTAGAAAAGTTTTTAAAGGTCTTTTAATCCTGCCCCTGCCTCTTTATTAAAACAAAAACTGCAGGGGGTAGTATAATGAAATTATAATTAATTAATTGCCAATTTATTTAGCAGGTCTTAGATTGGGCTACAAACTTCTACATGATCCTGGACAAGTCACTTAAACCGTCAATGCTATGGGCAACTCTTTCTCATCTCCTTCCCTGTAGTTTTAGATGGAAGGGACTTTAAAAGACACTGAGTCCAATCTCCTCTTTTACAGTTGAGGAAATCAAGGCATAGTGAAGGCAAGTGACTTGGACCAACTAGTCCAAGTCAGGATTTGAACGCAGGTCTTCTTGACTCCAAGTCTAGCACTTTATTCATTCATATTCATTCAGAGAGAGGGCTGGGCTTGGATTCAGGAAAATCTGGGTTTCAGTGCTACATTCAAAACTTATTAGCAGCTATGTGACTCTGAGCCAGTTATCTCACTTCTGGGGGACTTGGTTTCTGGACCTGTAAAATGAGGACAAGAGTAGCACCTACTTGAGAGGGTGCTTTTGAAGCTGCAAAGAGATCATGCATGTACAATACTTTGTAAATATATGCACACGTGTGTGGAGGTTCTCACTAGAATTGGGAAATGGAATTCTGGTGATCTGCACAAACTCACTCCAACAAAGACCTGATGTGTTCAAGAAACAATGTCCAACTTCATGGGGGGAGAAACGCCACTTTTTTTTTTTTGGAAATTGGGGTTAAGTGACTTGCTTAGGGTCACACAGCTAGTAAGTGTCAAGTATCTGGTCTGAGGCCAGATTTGAACTCAGGTCCTCCTGACTTCAGGGCCGGTGCTCTATACACTGTTTCTTAGACCACTGAGGTGTAGACTTTTCCTATTTAACTCTTTGCCTTTAGTCTTTTGACCACTTCTTTGAGTAATTTATATACGGATTATACTTAATGGAAATCATATAAGACCATCAAGGGGGGGCATTTATTTGCAACTGAAATATCAATTAAGATAACATGTACCTAATACTGTAATAAAATGCACCTGATGGATAATATAAAGGTTTTTTTTTTTAATGCTGTGAAAACTACAGAAGCATGCTAACAAATCAATTTGATCAATATATGGGATATAAAAAAGGGAGAAGACAAGATTGACTGATGAATAAGAAGGATCTGACACCAATAGGTTGGCAGCCAGTTACAAGTCTCTTTAGGGCAAATGCAATTAACTTAGAATAATAGACTCAAATTTGATGGTTAGAAATGCACTTTTATTAAAAATCACCGGCTGAATCATTATGCGCTCTTATGAAAAAAATGGCGCTGATATTCTGTGCATGTGTGTACATGCATATATAAACAGACATAGATCTACCCATATGTCTATCTATATATACATACATATACATGCATCCGTGTCTCATCTTCATATGTACTATGTACACTTACTCAGAAGGTAAAAGTGGATGTCAGAATAAGATTCTTTTAAAAAGAAATTCATTCACAAATGGTCTGCAGGACTATAAATTCTGAATATTCTCCCAAATTACAAATATAAAAATCATGCTACTTATCAGGTACTATAAGACATAAAGTCAGTGAGCCCTGGTCCCAGAACTGCTGGTCCTTTTGGGATTTGAAATTGCAATCAGGGATTTACAGATTTCATTTTGAAGAGGAGAAGTCATTACTAGAAACCTAAGCTCATTTCCTCTCCTTTAATAGCTGTTTTAAATCATTCATTTAGAAAATACATTAACTATTTAGTGTACTTGCAATGTGTTTCTCTGAGCATCAAGGAGGAATGTTTTTTTTTAATCCCTTTTAAAATTATTTCAAAAAAGCAGGTTAGAATTAGCAAACAGATGCCTAGTAATTTTTATTGATATTTGTTTCTTCTTGTTATTTAAAACAATTATGTATGTGTGTATATATATGTGTGTGTGTGTGTGTATTATAATTTTAAAAGATACAGAAATTATCAAATAAGAATGCTTTTTTTTGCTTAATTTGATAATAGTGGGCAAAAAATGCTTTAAAAGCCACCTGAACTCTCAATTTTAGATAATCTGCAAACAAATATGATTTGGACAGGAAATAAAAATGGAAAATGACAAAATGGTCTTTTACTGAAAATGGTGGAGAAATGTCATTTTAATACGATATCCTTTGAAAGATATTAATAAATGAAATGGAAAATAACAGATGCCTTGGGATTTAGGACATTTGAAATTGACTTCCGCCTCAATGACAATTAGCAAGAGACAGAAGTATGGTGGAAAGTGTGGGGAGTTGGGTTCGAATTCTGGCTCTGCTTCTTTTTATCTGTGAGATCCTTAGGAAGTCATCTCACCTTGGCTTCATCATCTGTAAAAGCAGTGTTTTGGATAAGATGAGCTCTAAGGTTCCTTCCAATTATAGATCTATGAGAGTTATCAGTGTGTGCTAACAAGAGCACTGACCTGACCATCATCTACTACATGCTAGCTGTGTGACCTTGGCAAATTATTTCATTCTGAGTCTCAGTTTGCTCATCTGTAAAATGAAAAGATCAGACTATATTATCTCTAAGGTTCCTCCCAACAACTAGATGGCATAGTGGATAGAGTGATGAACCAGGAGTTAGGAAGACCCGAGTTGGAATCCTGCCACAGAAACTTACTAGCTGTGTGACCCTGGGTAAGTCCCTTAACCTCTATGTGCCTCAATTTCCTTATCTGGAAAATGAAAGGTTTGGCCTGTTAGATTCCTCCTACCTTTAAATCTATAATTCTATAAATGTGAATCTGGAGATGATAAAGGAGAAAATATGAGGACTCTAAATAGTAACTTTGCTGTTTCCCTGGAAAATTTTGAAGGCAGTTTTGTATAACACTTTGAAACCCATTTCACAACTGGTAAATCCAATAAGTAAGGTGAATTTTCAATTTTCACAGATAGTATTTGCCTATAATGTTTTTATTACAACATGTCCACATGACTGGCCGAATATGTAATTCTGTAATGCAAAGCTAGAGATATTTTTGTTCATGTTTCTGATTTAAGGTATTTCTAAGATATGCTTAAATTATCTTTAGTTATTGGCTTAACTTTGTAGATAATTTTAAACGCAGGAAGAAAAAAAAATCTTCAGGAAATGAGTCATCGAATGTCAAATTTGTAGGGGACCTTAAAAATGATCTAGTCCATTCCTTTCATTTTACCGAGCGGCCATAGGGTGGGGGTGGGTAGTGGGAAGTGCCATAGCAAGCTAGTAGCAGACCTGGAATTAAAGCCCGGATCTCTGGACTGCCAGACCCAGCTGTCTCCTCCATACCAGCTTCCTTGTAATTACCTCCAAATTGTCATTCTTCACAGGAACATCGTGAGGGCTGGCAATTCAAAATCTGTCTGTCACACTTCAATGGATTTTTAATGTCTTCTGGTGGCATTAAAATATGCATACTCCCCCAAAGCACTGCCATTACAAATTCAGGAAAACGCAATTCATTCGTTCATTCACACATTCATCCAATAGGCATTTATTAAGTGCCTACTATTTGCCAGGCATGTGCTGGGAGAGTAAAAATAGCATAGTCCTCCTCAAAGTGCTTACTTTTTATGGAGCAGAAATAGCCTGTAGAGAAGTCAATATAAAATGTATACTAAGAAAATGTAGAGTAATAGGGGTGGGGAGTAGGGGCTTCACTAGAAACTAGGGGGTTAATTATCATCTTCTTGTAGGACGCGGCCCCTTGAAGGGTTCTATGTAGAGATCCTTGTAGTCAAAGTGAGGAAAGAGTACTTTCTAGACTTGGCAAAGGAACAGAAACAGGAGATAGAAGGGTGCATAGAGGGGGTCCCCCAAGCCTCCGTACAGTTTTAAGCTTTAATAAGCTTATCAAACTGCAGTAAGATTTGG